GCGTGTGCGTGTGCTTGTGCGTGTGGTTGAGGGGCAGTGCCTGCGCGGCTTTGCGTAGGCAGCAGTTGGGCAGCGTGCCCGCGGCCCGGCCGGTGCCGGCTCCACCCTCGGACGCAGCTGTACACATACGGTAGGTCCGGTGACTGGCGCAGTCTGAGCGCCGGCCAACAAAAACCGTCGAAGACTCAAGTCGGGCCTGACGTGGCTGGCATTCTGCTTACCTTGCTCTGCTCCTAAATACACAATGGGGACTAACTGTGCGGAAAATAGCGTGACGGCATGCGTCTTGTTCCCGTAGACACCGGGAAGCAAAACACTGGGCGTCCGAGGCTCCACCCAGCCGTGTTTTATGACTATATCGGTTAAATGCTTGGCTACAATCAGCTGCCTCTGGTTTGTCTCCTGGTGAAGCTTTCGTTGTTTCCTGATCTCGGGTCACGAACTTTATTATCGTACCGTTCAGGCTTTCGCGCCTGCATTCGTAGCATGTCGTCGTGGCGCTTTGATTAGAATTGTCGCGGATAAAATGCGAAGCCGAAAATATCGAGCATTGTGTTGCTGCGACCTTCTCTGTGGCCGCTACGGTACGAGCGGAAACATGGCCACTGTGAGGCGATAGCCATGCGACATCCCTAGCCAGGCGGACGGCACGCGGACTGCCTCAGTTGATTGCCATATTGCGACGGCGGACAAAGTAAATTGCAATACAAAGGTTCCTGAGCGGAGCATACTGCGCAGAGAGATAAGCGCGACACACCATGGTAAGATTGCACGGCATTAGTCATTGACTTCATTTAGTCCGTCGGACCCAGGGCCACTTGAGAGCGGGCCGGAATCGACACGGCACGCCCACGGACTGAACGCGTCCCTGGCCTCGGTCCGAGGGCGCCCCAGCGACGTGGGTTCCCGGCGAGGCTGCAGCAGATGATGAGCTGCAGCGACTGCCGAGTCAGAGCTGGTCCGGGTTCTGGCGCAGGCCCGGCGCGCCGATGACGCCGGTGACAGTGACCGTGCGCCGCCTGCGCCGACAGGGACATCTGGTGTCGCCTCCCTCCCCCGTCCCCTGCACGCGATGACGCCGGTGACGGTGACCGTGTACCGCCTGCGCCGACAGGGACGTCTGGTTTCGCCCCCCGGCTCCCCGCACACGATGACGCCGCCATGGGCGAGCGCAGCACTGAGCAGCAGGCGCGCGTCAGCGTCACGTTCGTCAACGCGCCGTCGTCGTGGAAGAAGGCGCAGGCCAAGTTGCGGAAGGCCAGCAGTCACCTAGGGCTCATCCTGCTGCTGATGGTTTATACAGCCGGCGGCGCCAAGGTCAGGCTCACCACGGAGGTCAGGCCTGAAAGTCAGCAGCGGTCAGGTGCCCTAGCCAACAGAGGTCCAGTTCGCAGGCTCGCAGAGCCCGGGTCATAATGTCAACGGGCGTCAGGTTTCATGCGTATGGAAGTAGGGAGCGTTCTCAAAGGTGCCGCTGACGCTGCAGCGGGGTCACGTGAGCAAACATAGCCGTCACGCCGGCCACGCGGGCTCTCCTGCCAAAGTTCAATAATGGGGCTCTTGGGTGTGAGCAGATGCCAGTTATTACGGACGTGGGCTGAAAGTTGCACGTTTGCGGTCAGCATAGCCGGTAGAAGCACGTCGCGACCGTCGCGTATGAAGACCCGGGTTTGGGTTTTCATGCGTCATGGATGGCAGCGATATGTTTGAAGCTCATCACCAGGGAGTATGGGCAGCCGTCAAATGGTGGGCCACAGGAGAGCTGACGGGGGCGCATGGCTACACCTTTAGTGCCGATGGGGTTAGATATGTGTGACAGGACGAACCATCTTCGGTGTGACCCTACAGCCTCACCCACTTGACCTTACCGCGGGCACTCCCGCGTGCTGCCTCCTGACGCTCTGCTGCCCGCTGCGTGGTGCTAATGGACCTCGAAGCACGAACAAACTGATAATTCCTGAAGTCTGGAGCCACCTGTCGCCATAACAAAGGGTTGGATGTCACCGCGGTATGGTAATGCAATAGTTTTCGTCTATGTGTGGCGCCTGTAAATTAACACCCCAGATTTATTGCATACGCTTGGTCGGGTGCGAATGCAATATTTATTATATTTGGAAGTTGCCGAATGTACGGCATGGTGCATTGTTGCCTTTCCAGCACGATGGCATTTGTACATTTTCTGTCCAGTTCGCTCTCTTTTTCTGTGACGTGTGACGCCTGTCCGTTGTATGGCGGCAGGTGTTCCAGAACACTGAGCTGCTGTGTGAAGCCTGTCCGCTGTATGGCGGCAGGTGTTCCAGAACACTGAGCTGCTGTGTAAAGCCTGTCCGTTGTATGGCGGCAGGTGTTCCAGGACATTGAACTACCACGCGAGCGAGCGGACGTGGAGGAGGTGTACGGTCGGGTGATGGACAGCCGGCGCCAGCTGGTGGGCACCATCGTCAACAGTTCGGACGTGGCCCGCATCAGCGCCAACGTGAGGTCAGTGCCGGCGGCGGGTGAAAGCCGCCTTTACGGGGGTCGATCCCCGGCAGGACGTGCTCCGGTGACGCCGAGGGGCAGGACGTGCTCCGGTGACGCCGAGGGGGCAGGACGTGCTCCGGTGACGCGGAGGGGCAGGATGTGCTCCGGTGACGCCGAGGGTGCAGGACGTGCTTCGGTGACGCCGAGGGGGCAGGACATGCTCCGGTGATGCGGAGGGAGCAGGATGTGCTCCGGTGACGCCGAGGGGGCAGGACGTGCTCCGGTGATGCCGAGGGGGCAGGATATGCTCCGGTGACGCCGAGCGGGAGGCCCGATGTGGTCAGCGGTGACAGGCGAGGAGACGTAGCTTTAGCCTGGCTGAGTGATGGTGTTTGGAAAGCAATGAGATGTTAATAACATGGAAAGTATCTTAAACTCGAAACGTAGGAGACAGAGACATTTTTTGGAGAGATATGAACAATGCAAAATTGCGCACGTTTGAAAGATTTCTTTTAGAATTTCCTACGTACTATTACACACAAAAATGGCCCACCCCTCTCAGTATCTGTGACTTTAGCTGTTGCCCCACCGGATGGGGGTCCTCTGTCAGGCCGGCCCGGTGCAGAGCCGTGCCCGCCGGCCGCGGGAGTCCTCCGTCAGGCCGGCCCCGGTGCAGAGCCGCGCCCCGTCCGCCCACTGGCCGGGCGCGTGATGCGCGGTCCGCGTCGCTGGCTGTCATCCGCCGGCTGGTTTACGTCCTCGCGCTGGGTTCGTTCCGACCGGTTGGTTGGGCGTTACGGCCGCCGGGCGGCCCCCTGCGCCGGCTGGTCACGAGCGCACGGCACCTCGGCCGTGTGGTCCACAGTGAGGCCGCGGCGGCCGCGATGTGGACCACGGCCAGTGCTGGACTGGAGTCGGCCGGGACGACCGGCCGGACCCAGCGGCGCGGCGCCGGTGCCGCCGTACAGCTGGGATCACGCACAGGCCGACCCCATTCCCGGCTGATTTATGAACCGACAGCCTCGGATACAAGAGAGGCACGTCACATGAACTAAGTTATTACGTGGTGCCTATTGATTTGGCGGGGTTTGTCATTTATTTTGATTTCGGCATGCTTGAGTTGGTGGCTGGGCTCTCTAATGCACCAGTGGAAGCGTGGCCTTGGTTCGCTAATGTCACGCCTTTGAGGTTGATCGGTTAGTCTATGCCATTACCCGTGTCGCGATATTGTTTCTAGTAGCGTCCTCTGACGATGAATTTGTGTGGTGGGGTTGTCAGGGGAGGCGAAATATGACTTTGTTATCTCACCCATTTGACGATACCGAAGAATTTACGCCCCCTGGGAGCCGTTATTTCAAGATTGGCCCTCGTTAGTATGGCGTAAAACTGCTGCAGCCATCAGCAGCCTGAGGGCTCTTGCTGAGCCGCCCATGCTCGGAAGTCGACTCTGCCTTACTGGTTGCCATCCTTAAATAGTTTGGGTATTTCGAAAGTCGTTGTTTCTGTGACATTTTGCATTTATCCTTACGCTGCATGCTGAAGAACAGTCCCCACAGATAAACTTGGAAATTCCGTGGCAAAGTTCATACTTATCGTCATAAAATTTGTGACCATTGCCAATGGTATCATGCTCCAATGGCATTATTATGTTTGTAGTTAAGGATACTAGGAGGCTGCAAGCGTACACTGCATGAATCCCCAGAAGTTGGCGATCCCTAGCAGTTCAGTGTTATGGGACGGTAATACGACCCGGTCGTTCGTTCCTTTCGCAACAATATTTCTGACAAGTTTAAGTCTGAACATTAGCGCCTGTCAAGAATGCACTTTTCTGGTAGAACAAGCCACTCCGGCAAAAATTTGTGTCATTTTATACGAGAACGAGTATTTTGGAAAAGTAGGCGACTAAAAGGCGACAGACGTATAGTGCGACGCGAAGAAGTGCGCACAGCTCGGCGATTGACATGTCGCCTAGCAACGGTTTTTTACCCATTGTTTTCGAAGTCAACCATTGGAGCTTAATCAAATGAGTGTATAAGCACGCTTCTTCCTCCGAACACTTGGCAGCACCTGAGGTGGCCGCCGGGCTTGCCGGGACACGGTGTAGCACCCCGCTGGCTTCCACTGGCATGTCAAGCTGTTACACAAAGTGGGATAACCCTCACTCAACCCGTAAAGCACTTCGGCACGAATCATTCTCTGCGAAGGTTTGCTACAGACAGGATGGTACGCTGCTGGGTTACATGATTATTGCGATGGCGGGGAGGACCTCGCAGGTCTTGCAATTAAACTATGCAAGGTTTCACGGACGTTCAGCTCGTTTCCGTGCACTGGTGCACAGGCAGAATACTGGTTTCCACTTTTTAGTTTACAGTCGTCTGAACACGACATGGTGCGCATTATAATCTCAACCTAGTTGACCTATGTACCCCTCATGAAGTGTGGTGGTATGTCAGTGTCATATCATTCGTTCAATATCAGATATCTGCCCTCTCAAATGTATCCCGCGCCAAGAATTTCATGCGTCCTCACCCAAATTAGCTGTCCCTGTCATAACTGTGTAACACAGTGACTGTAACACGTTTCATTTGGTCCGTTCATTCATACGGGCTTCCTCCCGGAACTGTTCCCGGCTGTGCCGAAGCTGTTTGCGGCCCTCGCCATTCCATTCGCCATTTGCGGCCCTCGCTGTTCAGATAGTCTCAAACCCCCAATATGCAACTAAAGCAATGTATTATGCAGCAACTACTGTGCCTCACATTCCACGTTGATCATCAGCCAACGTTTTATTCATAATACAGTGTGAGGTGAGCTGTCTTGGATCGATGGTATCCACCCTCACATCAAGGCTTGTTTCACCTACTAGGAAACCTCATTCACACTAGGCGCAGACGTATGCCGCTATGGCTTCAGGTCTTTTGCCCCCAGCCTTCAGTTCCCTTTAGTCCCCAGCTGTGAGACCGTATTGGTTGAAGCCGCGCTGATGACAGCCGCCGTGATATTCGACAGGAATGAACATGCATCAATCCTTGCTTGACTTCCGTATGTTCTCTTGATCATCTAGATTATCCGTGCGATTAGCATGCGCCACTAGCATTTGAAGCATGGCGGACTAACACATTGATGCGCTTTTGTCAACAAGAAACGATGCGTTAGAATGGCTTCAGACTTAATCAACAGTTTGCTTAAAATTGGCGGATTCTGCCAATCTCTCTTCTTTTGAGCATTTTTCCTGAAACGTTCACACTTTTATAACAGTTTTTTGTTGTTGTTTTTTTTTTTTGTTTTAGAAGCATGTTTTCCAAATTGGCGGAAGAGCCCAAGCTTCTTTGTGCAGTTGGTTAACAGTTGTGTCTACTTCACCAAAAAGTGCGTTTCATTGTTTTTGCTTGCTATACGTCAGGGCCTGTCAGTGATGCGGCCGCCGGCGAGTGAGGGGTCCGCGCCGTGTCGCTGGAGATGATGTGATGACAGTCTCGGGTGGGCAGCCGCCTCCTCAGCGGACGCACCCCAGCCTGTGCGCCTCGGACACGCCCGCCGGCCCCCAGCTGACGGTCAGGGCGTGGCCGGCCGGGCTGCAGAGCCGGCGGCCGTGCGTCGCGTGCGTCCCGTCGCCGGTTACGGCCGCGCACCGCCGCCGGTCGCGCTGTGACGCCGCCACCGACCGCGCCCCGGCCCCGATCGCGTCCTTTGGTCGTCAGCCCGCGACGGCCGCGGCGGCGGCGACGGCCGGCTGCCCAGCCGGCCGTCGCCGCCGCACCACCTTTATTGGGCCCGGGCGGCGCACAAACTGGCAGGCAATCTTCGGTAGACGGCCGCCGGCTGCATGTTACGGCTCGTCTCAGGCCTATGACATAGGCAGGGGCGATTGTGTTCACGGTGTCGTTGCCATCGCGCGGGTGGTTCCAAAATCTTCATCTGGCATTGCCGGCCGCCGTTTTAGGGCTGCCGGCCCGTCGGCTGGCTCCACGGAGTGTGCCCGGCCCATCATTTCGTTGCGGCCGGCCAGTGCTCAGTGCTGCTCGCCGGCGTCTGGGTGTGGTCACCAGCGGCGGTCGGATCTGACCACCGGCCGCAGTCGGATCTGACCATCAGTGACAGTTGGATCTGACCGTCGGCCGCAGTTGGATTTGACCGCCTGCGGCAGTTGGATCTGACCACCAGCGGCAGTTGGATCTGGCAATCAGTGACAGTTGGATCTGACAACCAGTGATGGCCGGATCTGGCCACCATTGCCATTTGGATCTAACCGCCTGCCATAGTCAGATCTGACCACTGACTGCAGCCGGATCTGACCACCATCGGCAGTTGGATCTGATTATCAGTGGCAGTTGGATCTGACCACTGGCCGCAGTCGGATCTGACCACCGTCTGCGTGAGCTCCTCACGCCGCCACGGTAGCGGAGGCGGCACGTATGTACGTGCTATCACACGTGCATGCATACCTCGGCTCCAGCCCTCACCGCGACATAAGGCAGCATGGGTGCGGGCAGACAGATATCCCTGATGGGAGCTGAGGCTATCTGACCTGGTCCCGTCGCGTCCTCTGGGTAATCTACTGTGATTGTATGCACCTTCTATGCTGGCTGTAGACGCCGACGCTCTCATTTGGGATGGAATGTCGCATATCTTAGAAAAGCTCACGCCGGCGTCTTCTCGCCGATAGAAAACAGTGCGGAAACACATGAACACTGCTTTAACGCTTCAACCTCTGTGTTGTCATGGGCCGGCCAGAAAATAGAAAAAGAAGTGTGAACTGATTATGTTTAGTATGCTTGGCATCTTTGGCCCTAATGTTGTCACGTGCACCAGAATAGGTGCGGCCATGAGACTGTGTAGTTGATTGAAGGGACCCAGATTTTGGCGATCGCAGGATCTGAACACATCGTGTGTGTGTGTGTGTGTGTGTGTGTGTGTGTGTGTGTGTGTGTGTGTGTGTGTGTGTGTGTGTGTGTGTGTGTGTGCGTGTGTGTGTGTGTGTGTGTGACCCCTTCTCCGCGGTGCACCGGTGCCAGACTGGTGGGTCTTTGCGGGAACTGACCGACCGCGACCGCGCCCACAGCTCCCTATTGGAGAAGTACGAGGCGGTCCTGCTGGAGGCCGTCAGGTCTGGTGTCGATCTTACACCCGGTCAGACCAGCTACAAGTACAAGTGGAACTACATACATTCCCTGTTCTTCACGTCCACCGTGCTCACCACCATTGGTCAGTGGTGGGGGTCGGTCGTCATCTGTCAGTGGTGGAGGTCAGTTATCATCTGTCAGTGGTGGGGGTCAGTCGTCATCTGTCAGTGATGGGGGTCAGCAGTCATCGGTCAGTGGTGAAGGTCAGTTGTCATCTGTCAGTGGTGGGGGTCAGTCGTCATCTGTCAGTGGTGGGGGCCAGCCGTCATTTGCCAGTGGTGGGGGTCAGCTGTCATCGGTCAGTGGTGGAGGTCAGTCGTCATCGGTCAGTGGTGGGGGTCAGTCGTCATCTGTCAGTGGTGGGGGCCAGCCGTCATTTGTCAGTGGTGGGGGTCAGCGGTCATCGGTCAGTGGTGGGGGTCAGTCGTCATCGGTCAGTGGTGGGGGTCAGTCGTCATCTGTCAGTGGTGGGGGTCAGTCGCTATCTGTCAGTGGTGGGGTCAGTCGTCATCTCTCAGTGGTGTGGGTCAGTTGTCATCGGTCAGTGGAAGCGGTCAGTTGTCTTCGGCCAGTGGTGGGGGTCGGACGTCATCGGCCAGCAATCAAAATGTTACTTTAAATGCCATCACCGCACGCAACGCTTTAAGCGACTTCTTTAGAGGCCATCATAAGACCTTACGTCATGGATACGGGTGAAATTCCATTTCTCTGTCTATAAGTGACAATGTTAAATGCATATCGGTAACCTAGGACATAAGATGAGCAACTAGTTTTGTTTAAATTCACGTCTAAAAAGCTAATCTTGGCTGCAGATAGCACTAGCTCACATCAGGCATGCCTGCCACCACCAGAGTGATGCCTGGTAGCCAGCACGTGGAGGGTGTTCGGAAGTCCGGACGGACTAGCCGCAGGGCGCTGTGGTCAGCCTTCAGCGGCAATACTGGACACGCTGCTCCCAATGACCTAACGGCCTTCAGCGGCAATACTGGACACGCTGCTCCCAATGACCTAGCGGCCTTCAGCGGCAATACTGGACACGCTGCTCCCAAATGACCTAACGGCCTTCAGCGGCACTACTGGACACGCTGCTCGCAGTGACCTAACGGCCTTCAGCGGCAATACTGGACACGCTGCTCCCAGTGACCTAGCGGCCTTCAGAGGCAATACTGGAGACGCTGCTCTCAATGACCTAGCGGCCTTCAGCGGCAATACTGAACACCCTGCTCCCAAATGACCTAACGGCCTTCAGCGGCAATACTAAACACCCTGCTCCCAAATGACCTAACGGCCTTCAGCGGCACTACTGGACACGCTGCTCCCAAATGACCTAACGGCCTTCAGCGGCACTACTGGACACGCTGCTCGCAGTGACCTAACGGCCTTCAGCGGCAATACTGGACACGCTGCTCCCAGTGACCTAGCGGCCTTCAGAGGCAATACTGGAGACGCTGCTCTCAATGACCTAGCGGCCTTCAGCGGCAATACTGAACACCCTGCTCCCAAATGACCTAACGGCCTTCAGCGGCAATACTAAACACCCTGCTCCCAAATGACCTAACGGCCTTCAGCGGCACTACTGGACACGCTGCTCGCAGTGACCTAACGGCCTTCAGCGGCACTACTGGACACGCTGCTCCCAATGACCTAACGGCCTTCAGCGGCACTACTGGACACGCTGCTCCCAATGACCTAACGGCCTTCAGCGGCAATACTGGACACGCTGCTCCCAATGACCTAACGGCCTTCAGCGGCACTACTGGACACGCTGCTCCCAATGACCTAACGGCCTTCAGCGGCACTACTGGACACGCTGCTCCCAATGACCTAACGGCCTTCAGCGGCACTACTGGACACGCTGCTCCCAATGACCTAACGGCCTTCAGCGGCACTACTGGACACGCTGCTCGCAGTGACCTAGCGGCCTTCAGCGGCAATACTGGACACGCTGCTCCCAATGACCTAACGGCCTTCAGCGGCACTACTGGACACGCTGCTCCCAATGACCTAACGGCCTTCAGCGGCAATACTGGACACGCTGCTCCCAATGACCTAACGGCCTTCAGCGGCACTACTGGACACGCTGCTCGCAGTGACCTAACGGCGTATTGGTTAAAATATGACGCCACGAAAGGAGCTTGGCCAACTGCTAACGTACGTTTATACATTGGAAGAGTTTCTCAACCTTGCTCTTTAACTAAGAAATCCGGTCTGTAAGTTGAGTTTGATCGCACCAAAACACTGCAAGAAGAAAGGCTGTACATGAAATGAGATATTGAGAAGAAGATAGATCTAGTTCCATGTGCTGTCTGCCAGGTGTGGCTTATCAACTAGAGCATATCCAGAGTGTAGGAATCAAGCCAGCAGGGGTGTAACAGATCCAGACACCATATTTTTAAGCAACGCCATAATGGTGATACCAATCTTTTAAAAATGGAGGGGCTCGGGCGCCTCTGGGCTATCCCGTTCCCAGGTTTGTGTAAGCCGACATGTAATGATGGTCAGTGTTGTGCACTTGAGTGATAAGACATCTTCAAATATGCACGGTTCCCGAGGGTCAGTTGTTTTGCGCTGTGCGAATGCCAACACTGCGTATGTCGTAGTTTGCACCTTTCTGCATAACTTATATCTTACTTTTATATTTTCATCATATCATTTAACTGAAAGTCAACTATAATTTCCTGACTGTTTTGCTACATGCTATATAGCTAGTGTCCGCTGTAGGCACGGACTGTGAGCGGGCAGCAGTCGTGCGCTGGTTTAGGCGGCAGCGAATTAGAGCGCGCGCAGATGGGCGTGCCAGCTATTTGGTTCAATTCATTAGCGGCCGTGTTTAATTGGTCCATGGAACGCCCGGCTGGCCCAGCGTGCAATGGCAGACAGCTGACTGGTCGGGCTACTACTTTGAAGGGCGCAATCCTATTTGTGCCATTCTCTCCCCTGTAGCCATATTAAGGGATCGGCGCTGAGTTACGATCACGGCTCACACCACGTCGACGACGCGCGATGCGGGAAGACGAACCACCTGGGAACGCCACCGCCGGACCTGACTGGTTTTATAACGCCATTTTTTCCGTCTGTTTAGCCGAAACTTAGGTTCCACCTTGAGTCTAGTCCTCCCGCCAAATGAACAAGACTGTTAGTACGGAGGCCGGCAGCACCTTTGTCACCGAGACAAATGTGACCGCTGAACGCGTGTTCGCTGAGCCGCTACCCGCTGCTCCGTCTCGTCTTGGCTTGCTCCTCGTCCCTATTTGTCGCCGCTGGCGAGAAAAAAAAACCGCCGGCTCGCCGCTGTTCTGGATGCTAAACTGTGACAGCCTGTCACCGTGTTGCTGGCCGGGGCCGGGCCGGGCGCTCGTGACCGTCACTGGCGACGGTAGCGCCAGCCTCTGGGGACCAGCGCGGCGGCGGGCGCTCGTGGGCCGCCAGGCACGTTACCACAATTTGTATCAAGGGGAGTGGGCAGATGCCAGTTTTCCGAACTTCTGTGAATTCGGAACAAATGCCTGCGAAATTGCTCTGCATCTATCGTCAATCTCTTAGATTAGAGGGGACATGACCCTACAGGACCCCTTACAACGATCCTATGCGCCGCTCGCATTTGACCGAGAGAAAGGCCTGCCTGGCCCCTGCGGCAGGCGCTGGCCGCCAGTGCCCCGGATCAGCGGCAGAGGGTCGTGCGCCGCCCGCACGTGACCGGCAGAGGCGCGGCTCGCCGCCCCGCCCCAGCCGGCAGCCGTGCCTCAGGACCTTCGGCCTGGCCCCCGGGTCGAGTGTCGCAGCTGTTGGTGCCGTTTTCGTTCGGTTTCGCGCGGCTGATTGGCGGAGCGCGAGCCGCGGTCAGATGGGAGAGTTTGTGTTAGCTGGCAGCACGCGCTGGGCGACGCTCGGTGACGCCGGCCGCGCCTGTTATAAGACGGCCAGCCCGCCTCGGGACTGCTACATTTGTTTCCGTAGATCGGCCGGTTATTGCACTGTGTATGCCGCTGCCTGCCAATGTATGCCGCGGCCTGCCAATGTATGCCACGGCTTGCCAATGTATGCCACGGCTTGCCAATGTCACGGGTCATTGGTTATGAGGACGCCTTTATGGAGAATGGCGATGGCAATTCGCATCTATAAACAGATTAAGACAGACAGTCAACCTAGGTAAAAGATAGCGTTGTCGGTCTCTTCTTGGATTCGTAAAAAGGTTGGGAATGCGCCTTTTTTGGTCGGCACTGCTATGTTGAGCTGCTTAGTACACTGACTCCCGAGGACCACGGACACCTTAAGTGCCATTTGTAACGCCTTGACTGCTTCTCAGGTCCGGCCCTGTCCCGGGCATTGACTGCTTCTCAGGTCCAGCCCTGTCCCGGGCATTGACTGCTTCTCAGGTCCAGCCCTGTCCCGGGCATTGACTGCTTCTCAGGTCCAGCCCTGTCCCGGGCATTGACCGCTTCTCAGGTCCAGCCCTGTCCCGGGCATTGACTGCTTCTCAGGTCCAGCCCTGTAGCCTCAGCGGTGGTAACAACACCCCTGCTTACGTCTGATGCCTGCGGTTAGAGCATCATCCTCCACATGCACCTTACAGTGCGTGCTGAGTAACGGCCGGGACAGTAAACGTTTCCCGACACCGAAAAGCATAGATTAAGGGCTTTGTGTTCCCGATCATGCGTCTGCACCACTGCAAAAGTAAGCATAACTGATCTATAATAAACGGATATTCCACACTGCACCGAAACTGCATGCCAGCAGCTTTGACCTCACCGAAAACCTCCTGTTTCTCGTTCCAGTAGCCTGGTCACAAAACTGTTGGCTGTTAATTGCTCAGCACATGTTCTTGGCTTAGAATATGCTAATTCCGGCGTGGAGGGGCCGCACCATACCCGCTTTTAGTGCTAGCCGTTTGGTGCTCAGTGACTCGGGCGGCTGGGTCACTGGTCCCGCCTTCGGACACTGCGGCACAGTCCATCCTTGGCCGGCGGGGCCGGGCGGTAGCCGGCCGGCGCCGGCCGGTGACACGGCAGTTGGCAAGTGACACGGCAGTTGGCCGGCGCCGGTCGGTGATACGGCAGGTGCGCCGCTTCCGCCCGTGCCGATAAACACCGGCCGGCCGGGGCATAAACACACACTGTCTGGTTGGGACGCCAACTGGCCGCCGGCCGACCACGACTCGTGTTACACAGCGGCGGCTCCAGCACGACAGCTGCAGCGTCCGAACGGGCCTGCACTTACAAATGGGCTTCTTAGAAGCGATCGCAATGCATGTATGCATGTCAAACATACAGAGAACAAATTCTTACAACACAGTTTCTTGTATGCCTTGCGCTATTGTGGCGTGCCATAAAATAAATGCGCCTCGCGCAACATTCGTTTGAGATATAATGAACACCCGTGAGATGCTTAAGACAAAACAAAACACAACACAAAACAAAACACTTTTGGAAAAACACGTTCGGGCTGAGATCCAGGTAGGTATGCATCCTATGTCTCTTTTAGAGCTCAAAGTCATCTACAGAGCACAGGACCATCCAGACAGGAAAATAAGTGAATCTGTTCCCATAAAAAGTCGGCGACCGAACCTTACCGTGCAGGGCTCATCATGGCCGATTGCGCGAAAGTGATACGTGCCTTGATGTGCGATGTGTGCCAGCATAATATCGTTCGCATGTGTAAGTGATGCCCAACGCGTGATGCGCGACGCCTGTTTAATCGAAATCGTTTACTTGTGTTAACGCGCTCGGGTGGGGATCAAATTAACCCTCCCCGCGGGTTTTCCCAGGATAGTTTCCGAACCGCGCGGGGCAGCCTCGTCAAATTTTGCCTAACTGTAGACAATTTAATAATACATCGCTTGATTTTCAAAAAATTGGGTGTACCTTGCAAGGTCGCTGACCTATAGAAGGTCAAAGTCAGGCCATGGTTTCAGCGAAGGCAATTTCTAGGGAATCGTTCAATTCAATCAAACAACAGAGTGTTAGACGAAGCCATACATCTCTAAGATACTTTCTTAGGCACAACAACAATTGAATAGCATTGACCTAGGGTCAGGTATGAAGGTCATACCAAGGTCAAAAACAACCTGCTTTATTGCTCTCATGCTTGCTGTATGGCCTGGTTTTTGGTACGCATTTGGAATAAATTGACAGCGGGAACCACATAATACACCTTACATGGACTTCTTATAGGTCAAAATAGGTCACTGACCTAGAATGACCCATGTCAGCATTTTTTAGGAACATACTGCCTAGCGTAATCTTTGTCGCTTATCCAAATGCAAAACTCAAAGCAGTCTCACATAATTTTGGTCGCCATGTTTTTAAAAGGTCAAACAAGGTCACTAACCTTAGCTGAGCATGCGATATTTTGCTTACAACAGTTGCCTAGGCTCCATGGGCCCTTCGGAGCCCATTTAGAATTCGACCTTGTTTGACCTTTTCTGACCCAAAGGTCATGACCTAGGAATCTCGAACTTTAACCTAAATGAGTTCACATACAGGTCACCACACCCTGTAAATTTGGGGTCTCTAGCTCTCTTAGTTCTGAGATCTCAGGGAAGGGTGAAATTGACCCCCTCCACCTGAGCAAAGGGTATCCAACCGGCCACCCGGGCGCATGTTAATGATGCGTGATGTGTGACGCCTGTTTGCTTCAACTCGCTGGCACATTTGAATGCAGCGTGAGGCGTGATGCCTGTTCACTTGAATTCGTTTGCATGTACACGTATTTTCGCGCATTATAGTTCTTAGTTAGATACGCGCCGTATCGTAGCAATGGCTCGTAACTGCTCCTCGTTCATTCCCCTGAATGCTGGTGACCCAGTAAAAACTGCGGCTCGCTGTTAAAAAAAAAACTAAAAAATTGAGTAGGACCATTGGCAGGCAATTTCGAATTCCCTTCTGCTATTCGTTTCGATAAAGTGATTTTGCTGAAATATCGACGCACCTATATTTCCATTCTCCTGATTTTTTCTCTGAGGAATACGGCCATGACTACTGTCTTATCATCCGAACCTTTGTTTTAGCTTCTAAGTATCGTTGGATAATTCGTAGGTGATATTTTGAGGTCATCAAACATATTGCAATTATGATAGCAAATAATTTCCTTTTGGCTCAATGCTTCATATATATATATATATATATATATATATATATATATATATATATATATATATATATATATATGTATGTATATGTATGTAAATACATGTGCGTGTGGGGGGGTGTATGGGTGGGTGTGGGTGTGTGTGGGTGTGGGTGTGAATAGAATTGTAACACGGAGTTTCCTGGAGCCATCATAGGTGGCTACAGATTTGGACAAGCATTCAAAAAATGGATGCTGATGGGTTATGTACAAATCCTATATGGTGTGCAGAAATCATATGAGATGTGTGCTGGTGTAATACTCAATTTATTTGATGTGATATGATCACCACAGCCGTCCAGGGCCAGACGACTCGGACGCAGACGCTCCAGACTTTTGACTTAACTGGGAGCGATCCGTTGTCAGTTTACTTAGAGCCACGATTGACGAGACATCGATAACTATGTAGGTGATAATTATTGATAAAACATCGAAGGCATAACAATAATCTGAGTCCGTGTTTTCCCAAAATGTCTCATACTCTTTTGACCAAATTACTCGGTTAAATCCTGAGCTGATAAAATCATACGCACTCTACATTCTGGTATCGGTTCCGGGCAGATCTGTGGAGTGGTTTCCGAACTTGACTTTGGCTGCAATGCCCCAAAGTAGTTTATGCGGTTCTTAAGGCAAAGATGTTGATCTTATGTCTCCAGCTTCAGAGCGCTAATGAAACTGCATTATGGCTTTCGGTTGGTGTTGGTTTGAAGAAAATGTGTGGAGCGGTTCCGTAGTTTGGACTTTGCTGCATAGATGACGGCGAAGTAGTGTGATCCCGATATGGCTTGTTCGTTAGCATGCAGTCATTTTCAATTTTTGGAAGAGATGCGCCTTTGTTGAAGCCGAGATCGGGGCTATGAATCTCGTTCTGACAGGCATTAGACCCAAATGCGTCGCCGTCCGCCGTTCATTTAGAGGCTTTCGGAAAGGAACTGGGCCTGCGGGGCCCGGGCACGCTTGCGCTTACTGTGCTCATATATATATATATATATATATATATATATATATATATATATATATATATATATATATATAAGTAACAGTAAGGCGTACCTGTTGATAACACTGCATGTGAGTTTAAGCCATAATTCTTCCTAATGTACTTCCTAGCGAATAGCTCCAAATAGACTGTGAGTACTCACCCATTCGGCTCTAAAGCCTGCCCGAGCAACATCGATGATCCTTGTCGGATGTCTGTCACGATGGAAAGAGAGTTGGCCAAATGTCTAGAGTAGACGGAGTCTGATTATTTCACGCCCTATCATGATTGAAAGATCAAGTCACTGCGTGCCCCGTCGACTACTGCCGTCGAGTTTCAGTTGAATGTGAGCGGTCGCCACAAGCCGAGCAGCGGCATCGCTCTGGAGAGGCCAGCACGCCGACCACAGTAATGGCCAGGCTGCTTTATGGAATCTTCAAGATATCGCTGACATAAATATATTTATTTAAGCTGTTGAAATTTATCGGGCCTTCCAAAATACTCGATTGAAGTTCTCAGCCCAAGTTCCGCTCACACGGTCGCAGCAGATGCTGCCGCTCTGACTGTTCCAATCTGCAGCGCAAAACTCCAGCAGAGGCCGAGCGGAGCGGTGGTGGCTCGCACGGCCCCTAATGGGACGCGGCGCTCGGCGGTCAGGTGGGGCGGCCCCTGTCGGTGGTCAGTTGGGACGCCCCCCTTGGTGGTCAGGTGGGGCGGCCCCTCTCGGTGGTCAGGTGGGGCGGCCCGCCTCGGTGGTCAGGTGGGACGGCCCCCCTTTAACAGGAAGCGGCCAGCTACAATCATCCGCTCGTGGGCTCCACATGGCATGCGTGACGATCCGACATGTGCCCCCTTGCCTCAACTTAGGCCTTTATTCTCGATTTACTGTCCGCTTCCGTGTGGGCTTGTCGCGTGCCAGCGCCAACATCCTTGTGATCCATTATCATTCATGTGCGCCTTTGGCGGGTCAATGATTAAAACTTCTGATCCACGGAATGGCTGGGGAACGGATTTCATGCGCCATGATTACGGAGCGTCGTGACCCATCCGGGTTTTTTAGTTCTCCGTAATTGGAGACGGTGGTCCACGTCCCAGCACAAGGCAGCACTGATGCTGGGTGAAATCGATGGCTTGTGTCTGATTATGTGACGTCACGCTAACATATATGTATGCTGAGCTGGCCCGATGAGGCGCGACCTGTCGGGTCCACACCGATGTCGCACGGGTCTAACGTCGCCTTCAGACTCAGTGATTGGGTGCTGATAACCACGCTTTTTTGGCCAGCCAGGGTTCTACTTCCTAAGCAATAGTCATAATTTAATTACAGTGTAGCCCCGTTGGAAGAATTTTGCTTTGACCCCGATTCTTGCAAGAAGCTACTTATTGTCCAGTCAAATAAAAACAAAGCAACAATGCAGCCTGATCTCAGCATGCAGCCAGTCACAAGCTGTGCCATGTTGGTGCTCCCAGCGCAGCCCAGCCAAAACATGTCAGTCATGTACAAGCCACGTCTGCCGGACGGTAGCCACGGCTGCCGTTGCTGCTCTGTGTTGTGCCGTGCCCATCGATGCCCTGGCGGCTGAGAGCCGTCCGTGTGTGGGCATGCCGCCGTGGCAGGAGCTCTAGACTCAGACACGCCATCGTGCCCTAAGCCAAACATCACTCCTCCTGTCGACTCCTTTTGACCCCGGTTTCAGCAAGGTGATTGTGTCAGCTTTACTGGCATAAGCTGGGATTGTGGAGGTTGAAACAAAGGTCGTTGGATTTTATCACCATGTGACATATGTCGGTCCAATAGCACGCCATTGTCGTTCAAAATCGCCGCTAAGAATGTCCCACGTGTGTTACGTTATGCCGCGCCGCGCCCTGTCCCTGGGAGTGCCTGAGCAAGACCTGTCACGTGCGCCTCGCTTCCAGGCTACGGCAACATGGCGCCGCGTACGGTGGCCGGTCGGCTGTTCTGCATGCTGTTCGCCATGATCGGGATCCCGCTGACGGTGACGGTGATCGCCGACCTGGGCGCGTTGTTCGCCACCTCCGTGTCGAGGCTGTACGAGAGGCTGAAGCAGCGCTGGTGCAGCGGCGACGGCGGCGCCTCCTCCCAGCGGCAGATGTCGGAGCGGCAGGAGCGCGCCCTCACAGTGCTGGTCTCCGTCGCCTTCCTCGTTCTGTATATCGCCATTGGCGGCGGCGTCTTCCTGCTTTGGGAGGAATGGACCTTCCTCGAGTCGTTCTACTTCTGCTTCATCACCATGACCACCATCGGCTTCGGCGACTTCGTTCCCGGTGGGCAGCCTGAGGGGTGTGGTAAAAAAGACTCGCGCCTTTTGGAATATGCAGCTCAAGGCATAATTACGGGACTTATCGGTAATAACAAATACATCGCAGTTCTGGATCTAGTTGCATTCAAACAGTCATTTAGAATATTAACTTTGCGAAGCGTTCACTGCAGTTCCTTATGTTGTCTGCATCAAACACTTCCTTAAACCATCGTTCAGTGCAGGATCTAGATCCATGTTATAAAATGTCGTAATTTGCTGAAATCATTTTTAACAGAGTGATAATGAATTGTGTAGCTAGTTGCCTCTAAACCAAGTGCCAACACATGAAGCTTTTTACATATATGTTCACGGTTTATGCATAGCAAGACACCGTAATGCGACTAATGCTAGTCGATGTCGTTGCAGTGTGGTCGTTGCCCGGCCGGCGGCGCTCTTGTGGCCGTCGCCCGGCCGGTGGCGCCCTCGAGTCTGCCGGCCGGGGCGCGCCGCCGTTCCGTCGATAACCCCCCCCCCCCCCCCTCCTCCCCGCTCTGAAAAAGGGCTCGCTCTGACGGGCTTCCGGCACTGGGTCAACGAACCACACCCTAAAATCGGCACATCGCCTGTGTCTTCGGCCACATTACTTGAATCGCATGATGCCACAGCCTGACCTGCTTGACATGACTTCATCTGACCCGATCCTAGTGTGCCAGGAGTGGCATGACCTGACCTGATTCCGAATGTCATGACTGGCCTTTAACGGATTTGATCGTGACATCTCAGGTGTGACCTCACCTGAACTGGTTTCCGTATATTATATGTGACCCGACCTGGTCCCATCTCCACATGTGGCAGTAACTTAACACGCGTCTAGGCGACCGGCTAGACACCGTCGCTCGGGTGGGGGTCAATTTGAACCCCTGAGATCTCGGAAACTAAGAGAGCTAGATACATCAAACTTACAGGGTATGTTAACCTGTACATGAACTCACTTAGGTCAAACTGTGGGATTCATAGGTCATGAACTTTTGATCAAATAGGGTCAAATAAGGTAAACTTCCAGGTTGGTCTCCAAAGTGCCCCCAGAACCCAGATAACTGTTTCAAACCAAAAGGCCACAAGCTCAGTTAAGGTCAGTGACCTTTTTTAACCTTTTGAAGGTCATGGTGACCGAAATCACACAACACTGCACTAGTTTTGCATTTGAATAAGCGACAAAGATTACGTTAAGCAGTATGTTTCTAAAAAAAATGTTGACCTGGGTCATTTCAGATCAATGACCTATTCTGACCTCTAAGAAGCCCATGGAAGATATATGATGCGGTTCCTGCTATTAATAAACTCGAAATGAGCGCCAGAAACTATACCATACAGCAAGCCCTAGAGTAATAAAACAGGCTAGTTTTGGCCTTGGACTGACTTTTACACCTGAACTTAGGTCAACGTAATTTGCTCATCCAATATTTGTGTTGCCCTAAGAAAGGACCTCAGAGATATATGGCTTCGTCCAACACTCCGTTGTTGCATCAGATTGAACGATTCCCTAGAAATTGACCTCGCAGAAACCATGACCTGACTTTGACCTGCTATAGGTTCGCGACCGTATTAGGTACATATAAATCTGTCATGCCAAGCAATCCGCTATTCAATTTTCTACATCTATGCAAAACATGGCGCGGCTGCGCAACGCCGTTCGAAAGCCATTCTGGAAAACCCTTCGGGGGGGGGGGGGGGACAATTTGACCCCATCCGAGCGCGTGTTAACCTGACCCTTGCGGCCGGCAGCCAACGCCGAGTACATGCTGGTGTGCACGGTGTACATACTGGTGGGGCTGGCGCTCACCACCACCATCATCGAGATCGTGCGTCGTCAGTACGCCCAGTCCTGGCAGCAGATGAAGATGCTGACCGCCCGGCTCCAGGTGAACCCCGGCCTCCACCCTGGGGCGGCCCGGGCTCGGCTGCTTCTCTGGCGACGCCTCAGACCCCCTACCTCTACTTCTTTATCTTTTCCCTTGGATGTTACGTGGTGCACGTTGCTGTGTGTCTCTTCATGGAGCGCTGGCCACTACGGCAGTCATGTTAGCTCCCAGAGGTCACGGGGGCAGGCCGCGGTCGCACCCGGGCTACCCACGGGGAAGCTGGGCACGCTTACAAGGGAGGTGTTTCGCCACCGTTCCAGATCTTCCAAACAGAGGTCCTGTTGGCCATTGCGCTGTGTGGCACTGTTCTGCCGATTTCTTCCTGTCGCTTTCACGGTTTCCCCTCGGCGACGTTTGAATCCCGCTTTCGTTTGCATGCTCTATGCATATATCAGGCCAGAGGAATTTTCAATAAAGGTTTCGCGATGGCACTTCTCGTGTTCACATAACCCTTTGGCTCGCGCCGTTTTAAACACGCGGGCTTATCAAAGTGGTGACAGGAATTCGAAGCGTGTGCGGCACACGACATTAAATAGGCATTCTTACGACTCTTCGGAGGTTGTGAGCGATGTGATGTCCGTGGCAGAAGAAGTAATAGCCGTTTGTCGCGCGAGAGACACGCGCGGCTCGCCTGTCGTCGACGAGGCCGCGAGCTAAAAACGGCCAGCCCCAGCGCCGCAGCACGGTACAGCCGGCAGCGCGGCCTTGCGACAACATAGGGCTCTGCTGCGTGGGGATTGATCGGCACGCCCCACAGTGGCCGGCTCTAAAGGCACCGAAGCATTCACGGTCCCGCCACTTGGTGTCGGTATTATAAAGCCAGACGAGTCCCGGCCGATTATTCGGTGTGCCTTGCCATGATCAAGTTGAGGTGCCGTTCGCTGTGTTTCGGACCCAGTCTGGAACCAGGAGCCAGATGTGTCTGTACTCTGTGCCCCGATAGCTGGGTGACAGTTTGCTGGTCTATGTTTGCTTCTTCCTTATTGCACGCAATGGCTGCTTGCATTTTATTCCAGGAAACCAAGGCTTACTTTTGGTCGTACCTTCTACTTTCTAGCAGTGCTATGGTGGTTGCGTGTAATGGCGCAGGATTCACTGTAGTCCACTCGTCGCCATCCGAAGCAACACAGATCACTCTGCCTTCTTTGCCGAACGCCGTCGATAGTCTTGCACCATGGCATGGGACACAGCGTGGCGACCCGGCCTTCGCTCATGTATTTGTCTGGCAACTCCAAACTCTTAATAGATTTTGCGGCTACGGACATGTTTGGACACGTTTGAGTGAGGCCATCGGACGATGCCGAGGAAGGTATACGGATAGCTCAGCTGCGACACGGCAGACATAACAAGGCCTCACGTGCCATGGCTGTCACACGTGAGCAAGCGGCTGCTCAGTTACCGCCAACCACGCCGCTCGGGTCGTGAGCCGTTTGGACCCCGGGGAACGAGGAGGCTCGCCGCTGGTCCCCAATGCGTAATTGACACCCGGCCAAAAATAAGTGGAGAAAGAGCAACAGCTGGTAGCGAGTGGGCGGCGTCCGACACCTGTCCCCATGGATATTCGGCCAGCCCTGGGCAATCAGGGCGGGCACGCACCCCAGCTGGATAATGCAGCTTGATCCGCGCGACGTGCGGGCGCGCCACGGCCGCGGGTCGCCGCTGCAATTAGTCCACCTGGCCCCGGCACGCTTTGTGTCCCAATAATTTATTGATCCTGCTCCATTAAGCAAGTAAAAAATAGCACAATAGGGATATACCGGGGAAGGAACTGCGTAATTGACCACTTAACTGACCGACTGGCCAGGTTTATCCGTCTTTAACACGGGCCTGCCCCCCCCCCCCCCCCCTAAAGGTCCAGGCGGGCACATGGCCCCGACCTCACCAGCCATTTCAAACACGTGGCGTGTGTAACCCCACCACGGCGAATTTGCATCAATGGAGCATACTTAGATGCACAAGGAAATACGTGTTCAAGCATTTAAACTTGCAGGCTCATGAGCGCATGGCAGTTTAACAGGATAGCTCATGACTTGAAGTGTTCGGTATCTGGTAGCATGTTTTGGCGTTTAGACACCTTGTGTCAGCTCCAGTTATGTGTCGAAAGTACGTTGGATCTGGGCTTAAATCATGACGTTGCTGTGTGATTCTCTGTATCTAAGTAAAGTACCCAGTCCAGAGGCAGACTTTTGAGCACTGGGTCAGCCTGAGGCCGAGCAATGGCAGCTCGAATCTTGTTCTGAGTCCGAGGATTGAATCAAATGAAGTCAGAGCCTGGCCTTCACACCTTTCAGCTCTGGGTCTAAAAGTCTTGTTAATATTGTGTTATATGTGTTACTTTGCATACAAGCCGTACCTGTTGGAGAGCTGTTTCCATCGCGGCACCGGACCGCGGCCGGGCTGGCGAGGAGTGGTGAGCAGCATTCACCATTTGCCCCCCACTTGGATTAGGGCTGCAGAACGAAAATGCCGGGGGGTTCCTTGGATATAAGACATTTGGCGGTGTGCGATTTCACTCGCAGAACGAAAATGCCGGGGGGTTCCTTGGATATAAGACATTTGGCGGTGTGCGATTTCACTCGCAGAACGAAAATGCCGGGGGGTTCCTTGGATATAAGACATTTGGCGGTGTGCGATTTCACACGTCTGATCACCTTATTGCGAGGGAGCATGAGTTAGGGAGTTGCAACTTTCTGGAGTAGAGAAAGATACTATTCTTTACCGTCAAGTCGCTCTTGGTTTCATGTGGACGCGCATATACTACATGGGACTTTTCTTGGTTTCGGTCGCGTTTAGCACAGGACATAAGCGTCTTCTCTGTGTCAACGCCTTTTGCCTCACTGCCATTCGCCGGGAGGGGGCCACCGTCCAGAGGTGCCTCCACACTGTCCAGAGGTGGCTCCACACCGTCCAGAGGTCACTGCGCACGTGTCGGCTGGCTTCCGGCAGCGAGCGGCCGGGCCGGGAACGGCCGCGCACCACGGCGTCACTGCCCGTCGAGCCCTGGCTCACCACAGTGTCACTGCCCGCCGAGCACCTGGCTCACCACGGCATCATTGCCCGCCGAGCCCTGGCTCACCAGTGTCACTACCCGCCGAGCACCTGACTCACCATAGTGTCACTACCCGCCGAGAACCTGACTCACCATAGTGTCACTGCCCGCCGAGCACCTGGCTCACCACAGTTTCACTGCCCGCCGAGCACCTGACTCACCATAGTGTCACTGCCCGCTGAGCACCTGGCTCACCACGGCGTCACTGCCCGCCGAGCCCTGGCTCACCATAGTGTCACTACCCGCCGAGAACCTGACTCACCATAGTGTCACTACCCGCCGAGCACCTGACTCACCATAGTGTCACTGCCCGCCGAGCACCTGACTCACCATAGTGTCACTGCCCGCCGAGCACCTGACTCACCATAGTGTCACTGCCCGCCGAGCACCTGACTCACCATAGTGTCACTGCCCGCTGAGCACCTGGCTCACCACGGCGTCACCGCCCGCCGAGCCATGGCTCACCACAGTGTCACTGCCCGCCGAGTCCCTGGCTCACCGCGGTGTCACTGCCCGCCGAGTCCCTGGCTCACCATGGCGTCACTGCCCGTCGAGCCCTGGCTCACCACAGTGTAACTGCCCGCCGAGCCCCTGGCTCACCAAAGCATTACTGCCCGCCGAGCACCTGGCTTGCAGACGCCATGGGTGTTTCAGTGCGTGGAGGTACACAGAAGGAGACCAGAGTGGAAGAGTGGCCATCGACATGGGAACAATGGGATGCCCGGGGCTTGGAGAACATTTGTTTCAAACGGGCACTTAGCAGGCGAAATAGGCGCACCATTCTCATCTCGCTCCAGATTTAGTGTCCAAATGACGTTAGGCCGTTCCAGCGCCAAACCAGTCCACCACATCATTCAATGACTTCAATGTGATGGCGTTCGAAGGCATTAAAAATGATTTCTTCAGACCTTACAATGGCTTCAATGAACCCATTCACAAATGCCTGATTGCCTTTGATTGCCATTCGAGGTGGATCCCTTACCGAAAGCTGCCATTCATTTTAGTGCTTATCAGAACAAATATACAAACTTTGGCAAAATTGTTCTGCCTGCGCTGAGAAACGAAGCATGGCAGCAGATATAACGAGGCTGGCATGAATGAAGACAATTTGTTTTAAAATATGGGTAGTGAATACATGACAAAGCATTAAAAACTCAACGGAGCTGTCACGCGGAGCAGTCGCGACATAAATGTTGCTTAACCGCGCAGGCTGAAGTTTGATCAAGGTTTATGGATTGAATGCAACTGTAGACATGTAAAAGTGTAAATCATAGTAGTAGCGGCATTGTAAACTGGGTGAACGGTAACTCTACACTTGTTTGCTTTGTTTGATGTGACCGGAGGTTATACCGAGATGACTGCGACGGGGTTGCTTCAGACGCAGGCCCGGCTGGAAAAGTTGTGATTCCGCCATATCAGTATAGTAGCTTCGGTTAATCGGGACGTTCTCGCCGATAGGTTTGAGCGAGCCCAGCAACGTCGCGACACGGCCAATCCTGTTCCAGACTGGGTGTTTTGGCCAGTTGCCATCTGACCGACACAGATGAACCACATAGCGCGGGTCGAGACACGAGCTCACGATGCGGTCCCACATTGGCCAGAATGTCTCACGCACTACACCCTGAGCAAAAGTGGTGGCTGGTAATTGGCCGTCACCCGACGTCAGAGCCCATCTTCGTTTGGTACCACTTGCTATCTGCCGTGACGTCTTAGCTCCCACCTTCTGAGGACGTTGTGCGACAACAGTGTGAATAGCTCGCTATTTGGCCGCCAAGGTGCGTCCAACTCGTCTGACGAAACGTGTGGCGCCGTCAGAGTCTGTCCGGACCACTGACGGAACACCTGAAAAAGCTGGGCGAGCACGGCCACGGCGTCACCATGGACGTCGACCTGCTGCGCGAGATCAAGGAGCTGCGCAAGACGATGGCGAACGCCAAGATGAAAAACGGCTTCGCCTGGGACGACGCCGAGCTGGATGCGCTTGCCCCGCAACCGCCCGTGCTCCAGATCGTCATCTACGAGAGCAACGTGTAACGGGGGCGCCGCGGGCGGACCGTCGAGCGTCACTCCCCCCCCCCCCCCCCCCCGGCCGTAGCTAGGCTACGTGTGGTACTGGGCTCGACCAAGGCCTAGTGCTCAGGGTCAGCTCGTTGTCAATCAAAGCCTGGCTGGTGGTCTCAACTGTGCCTGTCGTTCTCTTGCATACATTTGCCTGGCAACGAAAACACGTCTAGCTGATGGCCCGGACTTGACCTGATAGTATGGCTTCACTGTAGCTGATGGCCCGGACTTGACCTGATAGTATGGCTTCACTGTAGCTGATGGCCCGGACTTGACCAAATGACATCGCTCCACTGTTGGAACATTGTCGCAAAAACGGAGGCAAACGCCGGGACCGAGTCGCTCACGCCGCTTGAGTATGAACAGTGTGGCATTGCGTGGGCGTCCTAGACTCTCGCGTTCTGTTGAGTCAGTGCGTGTGATATGCCTGGCTTGGCGTTCCGCTTGCTTCGCGTAGAGCTGAGTTACGAGCGAGATCGGACGGCGCTGATCAAATCGGCCGGCTGGTCTGGAACGCTGGCCGTCCGAGGCCATCACGTCACTGCACCGCCGCGGCGCGGGGGCGTGATGCAGCGCAGCCGTGCACCGCCGCACCGCGCGTGCTGTCATCCGCCCGTCCCCGGCCACCTCTGCCGGGGCCAGGGCGGAAGCGCCCCCGGGGTAGAGAGAGAGAGGGAGAGAGAGAGAGAGACGCTAACGGTAGGAGTGCTTTCACGGACGTTACACCATGTCGCGGTTTATCCGAATACACCTCACGCCACATCGGCACCTTGTCTTACTCATGCTAATGGTGATCGGGCTTGACGTTCTACCGACCGCCAGATCCGCTTCGAGACCGCAGGCCTCTATGAAGTACTATGTGGGATGCGGTGGTGGTGTGGCAGCGTCCCGGACCCAGAACCGAGCGGTCCAGCGCCGAGAGGTCCAGCGCCGAGAGGTGCAGTGCCGAGAGGTCCAGCGCCGAGAGGTCCAGTGCCGAGAGGTCCAGCGCCGAGAGGTCCAGCGCCGAGAGGTCCAGCGCCGAGGGGTCCAGCGCCGAGAGGTCCAGCGCCGAGAGGTCCAGCGCCGAGAGGTGCAGTGCCGAGAGGTCCAGCGCCGAGAGGTCCAGCGCCGGGAGGTCCAGCGCCGAGAGGTCCAGCGCCGAGAGGTCCAGCGCCGAGAGGTCCAGCGCCGAGAGGTGCAGTGCCGAGAGGTCCAGCGCCGAGAGGTCCAGCGCCGAGAGGTCCAGCGCCAAGAGGTCCAGCGCCGAGGGGTCCAGCGCCGAGGGGTCCAGCGCCGAGAGGTCCAGCGCCGAGAGGTCCAGCGCCGAGAGGTCCAGCGCCGAGAGGTCCAGCGCCGAGAGGTCCAGCGCCGAGAGGTCCAGCGCCGAGCATTCCGATCACGACAGCTTCCTCGATCCTGTCCTTCTGCTACCGCGCCGTTTTAAGAGAATGTAGTGTGGTCGAGGTTCAGGTCTTGCATACATTTATCACTGTATGTGACGTTGATTCGTAAAACTTGTTTTCATCAGCCGAGAGCGTGCTCCATTAGTAAGGTTGCCGAAAACTGGGGAATATGACGACTTCCCGCGTGCCCATTAAGCCCGCTTGCCTAGATCCACTTACCACTGCAAGTTACAGAGCTATTTTTCCTAGATCCACTTGCCACTGCAAGTTACAGAGTTATTTGGCTCCCATCACTTACCACTGCAAGTTGCGGAGTTTTTTGGCCCAGATCCGCTTACCACTGCAAGTTATGGAGTTGTTTTGCTCAGATCCACTTACCACTTCAAGTTAGAGAGTTGTTTTGCCCAGATCCACTTGCACTGCAAGTTACAAAGTTGTTTGGACAAAGATGAAATATTGCTAGTGGCTACCAAAACATGTAACCATGACTTCCGGAGACGCCGACATCCATACTTCCTTTCCAATCCTGCCGTTGTTGATGGATTTCTCAAGATTCACCAAAGTATGTGTCAAGGATCCAGTTCAGTGACGGCACGCCGGCACGCCCGCCTTGGTGTCATCCCGGAGGCTCCACATCGTGTTATTGGTAGGCGCAGAAATGAGCAGCCTGTCACTGGCATCAGCACAGCCCGGCCGTGAAGCAGAAAATCTAAATAAGCTCGGACAAACACTAATGGCCATTGTCAGTGAACAAATAGATGATGACTGTGAATATCTGGAGATCCCAACTGGCTTAGCATCTTTTTTACAGGACATGGTATACGGGTTCCTGTAAAATGATTTGATTCCGATGGTTTCTTGTAGGCCACCAGGGATTCTACGTGTTGAGGATATGCGCAGAGAACTGAACGCTGTCCCGGACATATTCCATGTTAATTCCAAACCAGGTGGAGGATTTCACCCTTTCCTGTGATATCGCGGTAACTACTGAGTGACTATTAAAAACCGAACGGCGGTTGACTTTTCCAGCCGTGATGTACCTTTCTTTAAGAGGATTTTCAAAAGCCACCGATAGGTGGCAGCATGAAAGGTAGGGGAGCTATCAAAACGTTCAAGATTGAAGCGTCCAGAGTTAATATTGTCCAAGATCGCAACCTCCAACGTTCATAACGTCCAGCATGTGTCCAGTTCCATGACCAATGGGAGCGTCCATAAGGTCCAGGTGCGCAACGTCCAGAGTCGCAAAGACTAGAATAGTAAAGTCCAGTGTTCAAAACGTCCAGCATCCCTGGCAGTCAGGCTAGGCTGGATTTCTGCTGCTAGACTCTACAGAAACATTTTTGACTCCTGCCGCTATTTTCCTCATTTGTCACCGGATGGCACATGCAACCTAGCATTCCACCGATGATCATGTGACGCGCACGTGATGTGATCATGGAGCATGGTTGCCATAAATTACCAAGATGCCTGACGGCCGCGTCCGGCCAAGGCGCGGCCGCGCCCCGGGGCTCACCGGCGGACTGGGCGCGGGTGCGCCGGGCGGCGGCGCGGCCGGAGACGTGGCGGGCGGCGTATGCTCGGTGGGTCGCTGCGCCCGCGGGGCAGGCGGGCTCTCCCGCCCTGCCGCTGCTGCCGAGGTACACTCGGTTGCTCAGGGACTCTTCATATTGGTATCGAATTTTTCACTAGCTTGGAGGACCCAGTGCAGTTGTTGGAGCCCATATAAGGTAACACACCGAGGCACTCGATGCTCAGTGGCTCTCTTCATTGATCTATGACCCTTTCCCTTTTGAGCTTATTTGCTGAGGACCCTTCACGTGTCAGAGCGCTATCTGTTAACCTGCCCGGGCACTTTTGATCACACAGGGGCCTTAATTCATGTACACTGATCTTCGGTTGATCTCCTTTACTCAGAGGATCCTGTGCTCTGGCCGGACCCCATATGTCAGCCTGCAGGGGTGTCCCCGATCATTCAGGGGTCCCACCATATTGGTGTTAGGTTCTTCTCGCTTGTTATGAGGACCCTTCACTGTTGACGGGAGCCTCTTTGTTGGCCTGCCGAGGCAGTTTCTATCGCTCAGGTGCCGTGCTTTTGCCCGCTCAGGCCAGTGCTTTTGCCCGCATTGCACAGAGCGCTTAATAATGGTGTAAATAATAACACACACACACACACACACACACACACACACACACACACACACACACACACACACACACACACACACACACACACACACACACACACACACACACACACACACACACACACACACACACACACACACACACACACCCACACACACACACACACACACACACACACACACACACACACACACACACACACACACACACACACACACACACACACACACACACACACACACACACACACATTTATATATATATATATATATATATATATATATATATATATATACATACTTTTTGACGGCAGACACACAAACCTCGCAGAACTTGCGTGGTATATGACTAGGGACTGGCTCTTCTATATATATGCCTCTTCATTTCATTTCGGCACCTTAAACACTTAGAATCAGAGCATAAAACACTAGCATGCAAACCAACAATGAACTTTTCACTGGACAGCACTCACTGCCGTTTTGACCTGGCAGCAACAAACAATTCTTAAGCCGTGCGAAAGACATCATTCGCGCCACACACTGTGAATAACACAACTCAGCAAATCACAGCGCTGCGTGCCAATCAGCCAATACCCATGCCATTTATCAGTGACTTGTTTCTTGTCTAAGTGATTTATTTGTAATGCTGCTCTAAAGAGCTGATTCAGTACTTTGATTCATTTGTTTGCTTAAAAGTTGTTTGTGGTCGCAAGTAAGTAATGCATCCAGAATGTTGAGGTTTATTGTGTTGTGTGTAGATGATAGAATTGCAGTGTTTTGTGTAGGCGCTCGGAGCGCGGGAAGAGTATTGTGGTCGGACTGTGCGTGATTCCTTGGCGCTCCCTCCGTAAGATGCTTTGTGAAAACGTCGGAACAAAACTGTTGTGTTACACCATTGTAGCATACGAAGCCTTGCAGCAACACCTGGCAGCAGTCAACAGACGGGTGGAAATGATGACGCGTAGGGAATCGGTACTTTCCAACTTTTCATGAAATCAATTGTCATGCGTGTAAAAGGTGTCCCTGGCCTGATGTTTCCCTAGTGCAATTTTTGGATTGGCAGTCGGGACGGATTACGGGAAGGCACAATGGGAAGATGCAATGGCGTAATATCTCTTGCTCGTAATGCTGCAACTGCTAATTCCGTTCAGAGAATCAACTGGTCAGCCAACTGAATTACATTGGTAAAATGTTCTGGTCAGCAGCTGAAGGGCATTCCGTCCCATCCCGGGGCGCCCTGTGGCTTTAAGTCTGGCGATAGCCCCCTAGATCGCACGAAGACCCACACAAGGACGCATCACAACCTGTCCCCTCCTCGATGCGGCTGGCCCTCTGACTGAGACACCCAGTAACGGATCGGCGAGGGGCCCTCACTGATGCAAACAGACAACTGGCAAAGGAAGTCAAATCATTGGTACCGAGGCACTTATTCGCCGTTACTGGCCCCTGATTGAAACGGTGCGGAGGATCCCACGTCCGGTACTGTGCTGG